GATCTCATGCTCAAGCATGGATTTTGTGCTCAAGCCTAATTTGTTGTTTTAGTTACAAATTAATAAACAACTCTTATTTTGTCAATGATTTGGAAAAGAATTTGAAGAGACTCAAAGCCAAATACTGTTTTCAATTTCACCTTTGACTTTGATCGTTTGAGACTATTCAAGCGAGTTACAAGAAAGAAGGTTTGAGCACAGAATCCATGCTTGAGTATGAGAACAGTTTTATGAATACGGGCCCAGCTCTTGTATCCATTAAAATCAGCAGTATAACACTCTTCTGAACTTACTGCTGATGGAGTAAGTGACTTGACCATTGGTCAGTTTGTCTGCATCTGCAGCAGTTACTGTCAGGATGGCAGTGTTGGTTGTGATGTCCTCCGCTATAGATGTGGCAGGAGTATAGATAACCTGTCCAATCAAGCAAATACACTTAAACTTATAGGCATTTGAAATCTCCAAGAAATAAGGATGAATAATCAGAAAGATGGACACAGTGATTACTATAGGACACCCTTATCTCTAATGCAAGGCCGTAACATACCAACAATATATTAGAGTATATCCCAGCACCTTTACTTTTCCCTTTACAAGTTCAAGTCCTCATTGAATATATCATTGGAAGTGGAATTGAAACATTTAAAATTCACAATAGTTCAATATTGTATTAATGAATATCATCTTGAGAGATGCAGTTGACCATTTTGAAGGGAGTGTAGGATTTCTAGCAGGGTTTCCAAATATTTCCCTCAACCTTTACCTTTTCTGGAAGATCCAGGAATTTTGGAAGAATTTGAAAAAATCAAGTGTACAAAATGTACCTGTGTGAAGACGGGACTATTATCATTGAGGTCATTGACAGTGATGGTCAGAGTCCCGGTGATCTTACTAGCGGTCAGTGTGGAGGAGTAGGCAGAGATGGTCAGTGTGTAGGTCTCTGTTATCTCCCGGTCAAGTGCGCCAATGACCGCTACATTACCTACATAATGTATACAGAAAGTCCAGATCAAACTCTCATACCTTCACTGTTACATGAGCTAGCTATATATTATATATTGATTATTGCATGTTACAGTCTAGTGAAAAAATTCCTTTTCATAAGTTCAATATTTCCCAGATTTAAACAAGAAGTATATTTAAAAAGGTTTCTTTTGTGATGATACGTTACTTAATGAACTGATCATGCGTTTATTAGGGAGATAACTCATACATAATACTTAAGTTTCGATAGTATTTCAGATGAGTGTGTATACTATCTCCATCTCAAATATCAAGGGCAATGTCATATTGTCGTGTAAATACATGACACTGTGGTTCAATTTTGATGAGAGATTACCTGTATGAGAAAACATTAGATGTACTGACTGATGTAAAAGACATGTAAATTGTACACACCAAAAGGTACAAACTTCCTTCATGTGTAGCATGTAGGAATTAGAGTGGGAAATACTGCCTTAATTGCAAGGTAGTTTTTTCCAGCGATGCATTATAGCCCTGGAATGCACTGTCTTGTTCAGCAACATTGAGCATGGTCAGTGGCCGGATATCCCACCGCTGCCACCAAAATGTAATGTGCAGATGGGCACCCATCCAGCCACTGACCATGCTTGACATTGTTGAACAAGAGGGCACATTCCAAGATTATACCACATCTCTAGAAAAGCTAGCGTGCAAGTCAGGCTGTGTTTCCCCTCTTATTCCTTGCCTGCTTCACTTCCATCTGTGTATCTGGAACAAAGTTTGACTGTATTTCAAACCAATTAAAAACAACCCAGCATTCAGTCTACACTGCATGATTTAAATGAAGTGAGAGGAACCCCAAAAAAATCTTAAATGGCCCTACTAAAAACAAAAATAATACCAGGTTAATACTTGTAATGTGATAAACTTAGAAATGACAAACATTTTCTCTGAATCAATGTTCCTACCTGCACTGGAGTCTATAGAAAACATAGTTGTTGCTGTATCTATGCTGTAGGTTATTGTAGAGTCTGTGGTACCAGCTTGGTCAGCATCCGTAGCAGCAATGGTGGTCACTAAAGTCCCAGCACTAACATTCTCATCCACAACTGTAACATGGTTGGCAGAGACAGATTAATAAACAAAGCATTTATACACAACAAAAACGATGAAACAACAGTTTACCTGTT